ATTTGTTGAGCGCAAAACGCAGTAGCTGATGTCAGACAGTTGTTGTCACAGAGAATGGGCATTATTCAAGTCAAAATTTTCTGTATTCTGCTGTTTTACCTTTCAGAATTTCTGCGATTCTAAAAAACGTTTTAAAATTTCACAGAAAAAAAAAAAAAAACAAATATTAACACTGGAAGACCACCCAGAATATTTGCCAATTTTTTTTCCAAATATTATTGCTGTTTCGTCATAAATGAAAAAAACACAAGTGCATGACGGTTCCAAAAGCTCAGATTCTAATAGACTGTTATCATAATCCATCACTGCTGTATATGAGATATAGATATTTCATGTATTGTTGCTGCAAAACCAAAATAAATACTGAATATACTGCAGCAGCTACTGTTGGAAAACCGAATAAAATAATTCCTTAGCTTTACTTTCTCAAACATACCTTTGCAGAAAACAAAACATATCTGTTGTATAAGTCAATATTTCTTAAACGTTCAAATAAAAAAGTTTCATTTCTCTATAAAGAACATTTTTTTTAAAATATTAATTAAAAAATCCAAAGTATTTGAAAGTTTAAAAACTGATACATCTTTTTGCTGAAGTATAAGAAAAAACATACTAAATGAATCAAAATTTTTTATTTATCCCTTACCTTTTGGCTTTTCTAGCGTATTTTTTTCATCGTTTTTACTTGTCTTTCTCTCCAGTAACACCTTTATTCTTTAAAGAATCACTCTTAATCATATAATTTTCGTTTTGCTTGAACCCTACTAATCTACCGTTTCAATCACAAAACTACGGTAAAAACTGGGTTTCAAAAACTTCAAAGTTTGTAAATTTTTGAAAAAGATGAAGTTGCTGAAAACTTTCAGAAACAGGAAGCTGACAGCGATAAAAAACGAGCAGCGATAAGTTTTTTGAGATTAAAGACCACCAATTACCGAGGTCCTAAACCAAATTTAAATTTTTGCTGTAACATTATCAAAAATATCTTGCAAAAAATTATTCCACACTACACCTTTACTCAAAAATTCTTCTTCTTTCAGAGAGTGTTTTTTAATTCCAAGTTTTTCGTTGTTTGCAACTTTATTTATGATCAGACAACAGTTATTTTAGCATTTTCTACTTAAAATTTTTGCTGCTAGTAAAAGTCACTGTTGAACAGTTTCAAGTTTTTCTCCGCAAAACCCATAGTGATTCCTTGGATTTTTTTATTATGTGTTTCAAGTCATCTCTTTTATTCACTTTTGAAATACTGTTTGAAGTACTACAGAACGGTGCTAGTGAAAACAAGAACCCAACTGCAGCTCACTGAAGACTTAGTTTTACACTTGAGAACAAGTACTATTATTCCAAAGCCTAGTTACACTAAATGACTTAGTTTTTCGGGAAATATTTAACACTCGACTATTATCAACAATTCTTTGCTCAGTTTCGTTACTTTCAATAAACAACTTCAGAAGAGATGGAGTATATGGCGTCGTTCTCAAGGCTTTGCAACTCACTTTGCGACTTAACAACCTAAACAGAATAGTACAGCCGCAATAGATATCATAAACAGCAAACATTTTAAATCAAAGATAACTCAAGTTTATTGTGTCAATCACAGAGAAGTTGGAACTACAAAGAAATTACAAAAAGACTTTTCCTTTAACCTTTTGACGGGCATGGAACGTATTTTAATCTCTGTCTCGTTCTTTTTCACTCTCCAGCGGCTCTAACTCCGTTGAGCCTTCGGAATCTCCTCAAGCCTCACTGTTTGACTTTCATTGCATTTTTGTTGCCTAAATTGCGGAAAATGACTGATCAACAGAAAGAATTTCAAAAAATTCAATTTTAGAAAGTGTGAAAAGGCTAACTTTTCTTAATTTGGAAAAAAAGGAGGTAAAATAACCAGCCAAACAATAGATTTTACGTAATAGGTTTAAATTTGAGAGTCACTGCGGCACTGAAGAGTTTTAAAGGCAAGTTGTATACAAATTACCACAGCCACAGTTGGCTCTTCTCTCCAGGCACCGTCTTCAAACTTTCATCACATTTTACGCTTTTTTCTGATTCACTATCCAGCTTTCTTCGTATCTCGACCAGCTAGAATTACGCTGCATAAAAAACATTAGTTTGTAACACACGAAAAACCAGCAATTTATTGGAATTTTTTTAAGTTACAGAAAGATTTTCTATATTTAACATAATACGGCCTATCTAAAATGACTTTTTCTCGCTTTTTAAGCTGAAATGAGCAAAGTTCAACCTGCATGACATTAAACTTTGCTGTAACAATGATAAAAAATTAAAGTACCAGTACAATTGCTCGAACATGCCTTTGATTTATGAATGTTCCAGCTAACATCATTAGAAATTTTTAACAAAGCGACAGTTAGTCTTACAAAAGTCCTGCCTTTTCCTACCAATTACTCAAAAAGTAAAAACTTTTATCCAAAAACCTCTTACTTTGTTTACCAACTTTTCAACGGCTTGTTTTTTATTTGTAAGTGACACCACTTTATTCTCGTCTTTTAAATCAGCACTTTGTATAGCGTCCGTTGTCTTCTGAATGTCGTCGATCTACAAATAAAAAAGTTATTTATGGTAAAGTGATGGCGTTTATTGACTACGACTAATGAAATAAACTGTAATGATAAGATGTCGTTCAACCTTCCTATGATTGGAACGGTAGAAAAAAAAACGATAAAAATTTATTTCCCTGCTGCAAAAAAACAGCCAGATAAACTCACGAGTGCTTTCACAACAAAGTCTAAATTGAGAGTAAAATGCCTCTACAATTATACCAGAATTTGTTTCCAAAGCATACCAAAGCTGCTACTCGTTATACTCTTGATAAAAATATAAACTGTTTTACCAAAATCTTCAACTCCTGTCGCTGTTGTCTGAGGACTTCACCAATTTCATATGCGGTCTCCAGACCTTTTACCACAACACCCATCGTTTGCTGCATATCGACAACCTATAGCTATAATGTTGCGGCCTTGTCATGGTTCACCACGAAGAGATTTCAAATAACGCGATTAAAACTAATAAATTGATCTCAGAAAAAGCAACAACAAAAGCTGAAACCATCTGTTTCAACGCCTCTTTATCATCGGGTACATCCGAAGCCGCCACTGCTTCTCGTTTCCGATCAAAAAAGAAAAGTAGTCGGATAACATCGATCGGCTGGAAGGGCTGTTGGCACTGTGGGCAAGCTCCCGACTTCTAAAAAAAAAGCTATGATAATCTTTGAACTTATTCCAACGATAATGAATTGTTTAGTCAAATTCATGCCATAAGTTATCATAAAAGATCAGTTGGGATATCACTGGTGACAAATAAGCAATTTTTCGAGGATTAACAGTTACTGTCTTCCTTTCTATTATTCTATTCACAAACCTGTAACCAGTCCGTTACACAGTTATAATGGAAAGTGTGACCACAAAGCAAGGCTGAAATTTTTTCATGGACAAGATCTGCCCAACATATCGGACATAAACCACAATCACTCATAATGTTATACTTGTTCCTTATATTTGTGAGGCACAATACTTCCACTGAGTAGCCAAGTTGAAAAAAACTTTAAAAAGAAGTAACATTAAGGAAACTAATTTAATTAACAACGAGATAAATAGCGAATCCAATAGAGCAGCGAAGAAAAATTATATTACAATGCTAAGTATCACAAAATGATCTTCAAAGTACTGCAGCCTCTCGAAGCCACGGTGACCTTGACTACTCTTTAAAGTCATTTTGAAGCTCTCAAGATATGTTGCAGTGACACTCTCTTCTGGCTATTTATTCTGACATTTACTAAACTTAGGTATAGAACAATTTATTTAAATTTTAGTTTGTACTTGAAAAACACCAATCTAAATGTTACGATTGTTCCAATCTCATCCCAACACAGAAGTAACTTTGAGAAAATTATCTGATTTAAGACCACCACACACAGTGATGGTCTTACGGGTTATAAACTGACTTTTTTTTATTGCACACATCCTACTGTTGTGCGGCTTAAATTATTGCGACTTCCCAGTGTAGCTTAAGGGATTACGATAAAACTTGTTTTGTAAATTGCTCATGTAAAACTTTAAAGCCCCTTTACTAAATTCATATGCTAAAAAATAAACTGTGCTACTGCAAAGCAGCGTGCTCATCTTTCAAATCCATTACCTTTAACCTGCCCTTATTCTAATACACTGCGGGATTCTGATAATTACTAAGCCTGAGCCACCAATGCAGCTAGCAGTTGTGAGAACTGCTCTCAAAATAATTCAAGACTATTTGTGGACAGAAGTCTATTGCTTTAGCTGAAAGGGCTTTCATCATAAAAGTTACATGACTACAATCGACGCTAGAACAGCAGAAGAATCCGAACAAGAAACAGCCTTAGGGGAACCGGGCCCACTGTCACAGCTAAAAAACAGAGACACTACTCAATCGCAGTATCCGCCACCAAAAAAACGATCTTATGAAGTGCATTAATTTTCAAATTGAAACTTTAACAATATATCAATGAAAATTGACAAGTGCATAAACGAATTTGTAGCTATCGCATTTGAATCAAACAGAGTCAATAATGATGGTACTTTGAATGTAGAATAAAAGCGTTCATGAGCTGGATTAGCTTGGCCGCAGTAACTTCAATTGAACTTCAAAACGGCAGAATCCGGTTGAAAGTATGTAACCTTTGTAACAAGCGAGGCAGTGTACATACTGATGCGGTAGCAACATCAGTCTCCCAGACAATCACGATTGAAACCAGCGTACCATATAATCAAAGATCTAGCTAGCTGTCGACCAGGTATCGCAGCTACAATGGATCCGACAGCTTTCCAGTCTGCGCGATAGGCATGGTTTAATCAGAGTTTGGCGCCAGCGGAAGGGTATAAACAAAGGCTGCTATATACATGGGTTACGGCTTCATCTTTGGCATCGCCTTTTGCGAAACAGACATCTCAATATTACGACCGGCCAGACTGGTAAGTGAATCTACCCATTTGGGATTAAAACAGTTTTCCTCATAAACCCTCTCATTATCTCATTGTATTCCATACCCACCTGCCGGCTTGCTAGACATGGACACCGTCCTGATATTTTTTTCCTTCAAATTGTTGTAACTGAGGTGTTTAAGTTGCAATACATACACTACATTACGCAATACATACATAACAAGAAGTAGAAGGGTTACCTTCAAATAAGCGTTACAGACAATTTGCCAACATTGTGAGTTTGCAAACTACACGCCTTTAAAGATGCTAGATAACAAATCCTACAGACATTACACTGAATTCGTCGATTCTCTGCGAACAGAGCAACAAAGGTAACCAAAGGTGCGCATGAAAGTAGGTCATTCATTTGCTGTTTAGAGAAATAGTTTTTTGCAAAATACGAAAGATTTCCTTTATTTTTCCACAGAAAAAGCTGGACCTGAAATAATAGGAGACACCATCAAAGTAAAAAAAAAAAGATTTGCATTTGAAATACCAAACGGCTATTTATCGCATTTTCTGCGGGACTGGTTGCCACACCCTTCTCTCGTAGAGCGCCGTTGTTCAGCTCTCAAAAAGTACATCATCAAGACGGAACAAATTCAGGTCTGGGAAACAATTACAACTATTACTTTCTAAAGCTCTAAACAAGCCGGACTTCCTGTAAAAAAATTACAAAGTAGGTTTAGGGTGGAGACTTCTTTAATTGGGCACTGGTCACAGAGCCTAAAACAGAACAAGGAAGAAGGGGCAAAGGATGGAAAAAAAAGCAATTCTAACCAACGGTAAAAAGCTTTTAATGAATACACTATAATTTCGTTGCCCTGTTTCTAATCACTCTTAGACTGTATATGTGGTAGTCTACTCATCTTTTTTTGTGTTATTGATAATCTACAGAACAGCAGTCGTTATTCCCCAGCAGACTGTTCAAGCAGTCTGTTTCTGAAGGTTTACTGAACAAAAAACACACAGTCAACGGTAACTTCGGTTTGCAGAGGCGCAAAGATAGAACAACAGTAAAAACTGAAAAGTCACTGCAGCATTGATAGGAATCCAGGGTAAATTAATTTGAATGAAATTAAAGACGTCAACGACTGGTGGAGATGAGTAGAAGTAGTTAAAGAATGTGGATGGTTCAACTAACTCAAGCTTGACTTCAAGTAGTTTACACGAAAAACTAATGATGCTTCTGATTTTATTCTACTTGATTAGAACATTGGAACAGAAATGAATATTATGCTTCTCTTAGTGTTATTTATACGACCGTTGACCTCTTACGTGATGATGCCCAAAATTCTACTTTTTTTAGGTAGATACAGCCAAAAAATGGTAATTTGCAGTAGTGTAGAGCTGGTCAAAAACCGTTTGTCCAATTTTTCCTTTTTTCTTCTCTTTCTCTTATTATTATTATTATCACTATCATTATTACTATTATTATTATTATTATTATTATTATT